ATTATACCTTACATTAGTCCTATCTAACATCATTATACCTTACATTAGTCCCATCTAACATCATTATACCTTACCTTAGTCCTATCTAATATCATTCTACCTTACATTAGTCCTATCTAACATCATTATACCCTACATTAGTCCTATCTAACATCATTATACCTTACATTAGTCCTATCTAACATCATTATACCCTAAATTAGTCCTATCTAACATCACTTTACCCTACATTAGTACTATCTAGCATCATTATTGCATATACATTAGTCCCATCTAACATCATTATCGCCTACATTAGTCCTGAGACATCGCTGATGTCTTTGTAGTCCTATTCATCTCACCGCTGACGTGGCAGCCTATCATTAACTGTTGATTCTCTTTTAAAATTTAATTTCTAACACACCAAACGGCTGTGATAAACACACTGTAATTTTCGACCTGGTCAAAATAAAATGAGGTTGAATAAAACAACAAAATAAGATAACAATTGTGATTCTCTGCCTGAGACAAATGAGCTGCTTGAAGTTACGTTTTAAGTTGCTCTGACACAAGAATATAACTTTCTTTTCATGTTCGGCATCTCACGCTACGCCAGGCAGTACAACACCTGCCCACGATGCATCAGCCAATGCTACATCAGCAAGTGCCACACCTGCCCCCGCAGCATCAGCCCGTGCGACATCATCCAATCCTGCACCTGCCAATGCGACTTCACCTGCCGTTGCCGGCTACCCAACGACATCCCCAAAAAGCAGCAGTACAGATGACGCAGCCTTGTCGGAGCCGGATTCCACCACCCCTCAGTACTTCTCTACCACACGCAGCGGACTTCACCGTGAATCTACAAGCGGCCTCACGAACTCCTCAACCTCGAACTCCACTGACGGCCACAGCGGGCACGACTCGGTCAAAAGCGACGCGAACCACCTCGCCACGATCATCGGGGTCCTCTTCGGTGGCGTCCTCATCATCTGCGCCGTCCTAGCGCTTGTGGCTTTGGTCTATCGGCTGAGGAGGAAGAGGTCTAAGACCAGAGAGGTATATTAAGACGAACGTTCACATTAAGCAGAGGTCATTCATTAATTTCATCCATTATTATTCTGTCATCTCGTCGGATTTTCCGGGGTTAATGGGGGGAACAAAGTCGGAACTTTTTTCAAAGGATGCGAAGATAAGTATGAATTTTTTCCTTTTCATCCAATTATTACACTTACAAATTTGATAGCTGTCTGTTAAGGAAAAAAAACCGAAAGAAAACGACAAAGCTAATAGATACAACTGCTGAACACAGGTATAGTTTACAAATGAAAGCATGAAAGCTCTTTCTGTTGAATTTTTTAAATAAGGAAACGTTTAAAGCTTAGTTCACTTTAACCCTTTAGTGACCGATACTGACCATGGACTTTTAGTGGAAAAAACAACAATATGTCATGGTAACGTTACGACTGTGACTTTGCGCACACACACACACACACACACACAAAGTTAAAATTTATGCGCCTGCGCCTAGGGCAGTTAGCGACACAAATTTAGCCAACACGAAATAATCGAGGATACAGTGAGGCCTCGGTTACCGAACGCCCACAATTTTCCACGAGCAAATCAGTTAAGGAACAAGCGAGCCATTTCTGTGTCGAAAGCCAATTTCGGGGTACGAACTCACGCTTACAGTATACCCCCCCCCCCGGCCCAGTAGGTTAGTGCTCAGGTTCCCACAATTTCCCACGAGCAAAACAGTTAAGGAAAAAGCGAGCCATTTCTGTGTCGAAAGCCAATTTCGGGGTACGAACTCACGCTTACAGTATCCCCCCCCCCCGGCCCAGTAGGTTAGTGCTCAGGTGTGCGGTTCGCAGTTTAAATTCAACATATCGTGTTCCCCTATTTCTTACACAGTTCGCTTGAACGCAGTCCTTCATTTATTATCCTGTACTAGGAATCATAATAAGGCCAATGTGGTAAGTGAAAAAAGAGATTATATTACAACACGATAATTTACAATGGCAGCAGTCATTACAGACACACATGCTTTAAGAATGTCACACTTTTAGGGCTGTGAGAGATACATTGAATTTACATTAATTTCCATGGCAAATTGTGTGTGTGTGTGTGTGTGTTGGATTAGCGAACCATTTGTTTTAAGATTGGATTCACAGGACGAATTAAGTTCGTTAGCCGACGACATGGCGCGCTACTTACAAGTACCAAAGCACTATTGCCACGTCTATTTAGCACAGTGATGTGGAGCTGAGTCTGAGGCGTAGGTTTTAAAAAGAATCACGCCTCTCTTGAAAATCGCAGGGTACGTTTGTGTCCATGTTATGTATGTAGCCCAAAGTAAACCGTCTGGGAACCGTTCCGAGACTCTAACCATTAGCGTCTATATCATAATACAAACAACTTTATTTCTGACTCTGGTCAACACAGAAGAACAGGCGCCCGTATCCATACGGGGTGAAGCAGCGAGGGGTCAACACAGTGTCCGGTGCATCGGTCAACATCTTCACCAACTGGAAGAACCACGACGAGGTATGTGATCAGGTTTGGGGCATTGAATGTGTGTGGGAACATAGCCTGTAAGTTGAATGTGTGTGGGAACATAGCCTGTGAGTTGAATGTGTGTGGGAACATAGCCTGTGAGTTGAATGTGTATGGGAACATATCGTGTGGGTTGAATGTGTGTGGGAACATAACGTGTGGGTTGAATGTGTGTGTGAACATAACCTATGGGTTGAATGTGTGTGTGAAGTGTGAACATAACCTGTGGGTTGAATGTGTGTGTGAACATAACGTGTGAGTTGAATGTGTGTGTGAAAATACCCTGTGGGTTGAAAGTGTGTGTGAACATAACGTGTGGGTTGAATGTGTGTGTGAACATAACCTGTGGGTTGAATGTGTGTGTGAACATAACGTGTGGTTTGAATGTGTGTGTGAACATAACGTGTGGTTTGAATGTGTGTGTGAACATAACGTGTGGGTTGAATGTGTGTGTGAACATAACCTGTGGGTTGAATGTGTGTGTGAAGTATGAACATAACCTGTGGGTTGAATGTGTGTGTGAAGTGTGAACATAACCTGTGGGTTGAATGTGTGTGTGAAGTGTGAACATAACCTGTGGGTTAGTCGCACTTTAATAAGAATGCTACAGCCCTCATTAAAAAAATGTTACACGTCTCACTACAGTGTTACACACTTCACTAGAAATGTTACACGTCTCACTAAAGTGTTACACACTTCACTAGAAATGTTACACGTCTCACTAAAGTGTTACACACTTCACTAGAGATGTTACACGTCTCACTAAAGTGTTACACACTTCACTAGAAATGTTACACGTCTCACTACAGTGTTACACACTTCACTAGAAATGTTACACGTCTCACTAAAGTGTTACACACTTCACTAGAAATGGTTACACGTCTCACTAAAAATGTCCTACAGGCTGGAATGAGAAAACGTGAGTTTCTCCACAAGCAGGTGAAAACCTGTGTTCAACAGTATTCCAAATTTTGCAACTTAGAACAACAATGTTATATTTTTATTTGTATTGGATACCGGTACCAATGGTATTTCTTATTTATAAATAAACATAGTATTTGATGGAAGTTCTTATGTTAAATGCCTCCAGTATCAAATCACCATGTGGTCCTATTATTAAAGGTCACATCTGGTAATTGTATTTTGCTTAGTTCCTTTCGCGATAAATCATTCGTCGAAAAACCCAGTTAAATGTGTTTAAGAATCCCATGACTTGGTAGGTGCATTCAAAACCTACTCCTTTTGATTCATCCTTCCTCATTGTAATTCCTGTGATCTCTGTGTCTGTTCATCACTCTAAAAGGTTTGACACTTTAAATATCTAAAATGAAATTCATCTCGTTTATAAAAAAAAATAAAAAAATTATGTAATTCGAATCTTCCAGAAACCGAACGTCCTAGAGGAGATTCCCAGAAAGAACATCCGGTTTCTGAACACTATAGGCAAGGGAATGTTTGGCACCGTGGTCCAGGCGGAGGTCTGGAACATCAAGAGGACCAAGGGCTGCGGGGGCAAGCGCTGGACGCTGGTCGCCATCAAAATGACCCTCAGTAAGTAGGTCACCCCGGGAATCCTCGGTGAACAAATTTTTTTTTTTTTTTTACCAGAACCAATCGTCGATTTTTTTTCCAGGCTTTTAAATTAAATTCTATGATTTAATACACGTCTCTGCGTTAATGGTGTCTATGTCGTTAATAAAGAAACTACTTTTAAGATGCATTTCTCGGGATTACTTTGACATAGAAAAAAAAATATGTTTGTAGTTATTTTCGTTACAACATTTACCTAAAAAACCATGCGCCCACGTTCTGGAACCAGCTCCCCTTCCACATCCGTTATTGTGAAACCTCGTCCACTTTCAAAAAGTCCCTTAAAACCCATCTGTTTAGGTCCGTCTATGACCTGTGATGCACCCTCCTTACCCTGCCTCATTTTCTGTCTCGGGTTGATCCTGTATTTAAGTATAGGCCAAAACGTGCCAAAGTGTACATGTTTTTATAGCCATTTTAATGTTTTAGCTACTGTTTTTATAGTCATTTTTGCACATTGTAGTTACTATTCTAGTAACCGTCACTGGGTTTTCATTTTTATTTTACTTTAGCAGTTTAAATAGTTTACATATTTTTAATAATTGTAAAGCGCTTAGAGCTGTAAGGTAAGCGCTATACAAAAATGCCTAAATAATAATAATAATAATAATATAAATATCAAAAGGCATGTACTTAAGTTATGATCGCATTTTAGGAGAATAAAATAATAATAATAATAATAATAAATAATAGTTAACTAAATTTTGTTGTATTTTTGACATTTATTATTTGAAAAATAATTTTAAAAAGCGTATTGAATTTTGAAACACTAAAATGCGTAAACATTGCTTTACAAAATGATTTTGCTAATGTTACCGACATACGTTAATGCTGTTTCAATGTGAAGTCACCGATCGAATTACTGAGGACGCCAAGACGGACTTCCTGGCGGAGTTGGCGCTGATGAAGTCCCTCCCACCCCACGCCAACATCATTACGCTCCACGCCAGCTGTACAGCCCATGGTAAGTACCGCATCGGTCGGAGTGTGTGTGTTTGTGTGTGTGTGTGTGGGGAGCGGGGGGAGTTTTAGTAAAAAGAATATTGATCCAAAAATGCATTAAAACGTTTGAAGAAGATACACTATGATGAATGGGTGTGCTCCGAATACGGTTTCTAATACCTTACAACGTCACATCGTATTGCGTAATGTTACAATGTTTTTAGACAATGTCTTCGTAAAACATAGCCTCTAAGCATTTAACTCCGCGTACGTATAGCAGTAGCACTGTGTTGGTAAGAACTTTCATTCAATTAAGTTCTAAAAACATTTTAGTCCAAGTTAAGGTCCGTCTATGCTGGCTCATATTAGTGACACTGTGACGTAGAGAATTATGCATTGTGTTAAAGACAAAGTGGAGACTTGATATGCTTTTACAAAAAGGCTCGTTCATCAAATCTTTACCTGAATAATTTAATACAAAGCTATTTCTTGATCTTACCATATCACGATCTTACCATATCACGATCTTACCATATCACGATCTTAACATATCACGATCTTAACATATCACGATCTTAACATATCACGATCTTAACATATCACGATCTTAACATATAACGATCTTAACATATCACGGTCTTAACATATAACGATCTTAACATATCACGGTCTTAACATATCACGGTCTTAACATATCACGATCTTAACATATCAAGATCTTACCATATTACGATCTTAACATATCACGATCTTAACATATCACGATCTTAACATATCACGATCTTACCATATCACGATCTTACCATATCACGATCTTAACATATCACGATCTTACCATATCACGATCTTAACATATCACGATCTTAACATATCACGATCTTAACATATCACGATCTTAACATATCACGATCTTAACATATCACGATCTTAACATATCACGATCTTAACATATCACGATCTTAGCGTATCACGATCTAACCATATCACGATTGATTTCACCAAAAAACTTAAGACCCTTACCTCATGATCCTGGAGTTCGCCTCGCACGGGGACCTGAGGAAATATTTACAGGACCAGAGGATGGAGCGGAACTACGCTAACGCGGCATTCAGCGCCTACGGTGTGAGAACCCCGCCCAGCGTGGGGTCCAGCCAGCAAGGAGTCGACAACCCCTCATATGTGGACGTCGCCCGTTAGGCTAATTGCAAATAGCCGAATATTTCAAGCATACTAAAATTAATGAACATATTTTTAAATTCTAAACTGAAAAAAAAAAAAAAAGTTTTGAAGTCAAGAAATAATGTCAATGTTCATGTCTCAAGCGGTCGTAACGTAATTTAAGCATCACTATTATTTGTATTTTTTTCGTTGAGCAGAATGCCGAATGAACCACGTTACGTAGAAGTTGGGAGAGAAGTTGGGAGAAATGAACTGCTGACGTCACGAACCCTCTTGTCATTCGGTCTCCAGATAAGCAGGGGTCTGGAACATTTGGTCGAAAATAAGGTGAGGGGGGGGTGCAACTCCGGACAAGGGGGAGCAACTTAAGTCAAAGGGGGAGCAACTTCTGTCAAGGGGGACCAACTTGTTTCAAGAATTTTTAGTAATTTCTGTCACTGACTTCATTTACATTTATCAATATTAGAGTCGAGTATCACCTCAAAAATAACCTCGAGTAGATGTTTGATGTGCTATTACATTTAACATCATTTTTTTTTCTTTTGATGAAAGAGACAGCTTATTCACTTACTGAAACTCCTCAGATTGTCCATCGCGACGTGGCGGCCAGGAACATGCTCCTCTTTGACCACAACGTTGTGAAAATCTCCGACTTTGGTCTGGCCAGACGTGTAGGTCAAGCCGACGTGTACGAGAGGACCAGAAAGGTAAGCTGATGTGTACGGGAGAGGAGCATAAAGGTAATTTGTTGCGTATGAGAGGACCAGAAAGGTTAGCTGATGTGTACGAGAGAGGACCAGAAAGGTTTACATGCATTTTCTCTGTAATTATTCTTTTGTGTGTGTGTCTGTGTGTGGTCATGTCATTTTTATCGAATATAATTAAAATACTTTTTCAACGTATCATGTGAGTTTGATATAGGATAATAGGCCGTGATGAAGGAAAAATATACAGGATTCGAATTCATGTAATTATAGCTTTTCAAAAAGTTGGAAGCAAAACTATATAAAACAAATAAAAAAAACCCAACAAAACAGTAATTTGATTTTTTTTAAAGTTAAACCTGCTTTCCTATGCATTTGCCACATACTGTCTAAAAGACCAGCTTTACGTTATCTATTGCTACTTCAAATCACAGCAATTGCCACCTCACATCAAATCTGTTGCTTCTTCACATCATATTTATTGCTACCTCACATCATATATATTGCTACTTCACATCATGTCTATTTGCTACCTCACTTCAAATCTATTGCTACTTCCTATCATATCTATTGCTACCTCACTTCAAATCTATTGCTACTTCCTATCATATCTATTGCTCCCTCACTTCAAATCTATTGCCACCTCACTTCAAACCTATTGTTACATCACACCGTATCCATTGGTACAGGGTCTGCTCCCAGTTCGCTGGATGTCGCCCGAGTCTTTGTTCTACAGCCAGTTCAGCCAAATGTCTGACGTCTGGTCTTACGGGGTCTTCTTGTGGGAGCTCGTCACGCTGGGTGAGCACAGGGGGGGGGGAGAAATTAAGGCCAATACGTCATTGATCTAAAATAAACAGATTTGAAAACGACTTTTTCAGCGTTATTATGAAAATGAACTGAAATATTTTGTCCACGTTTCTTGTTAAAAAAAACAACAACCTTATCCAAACATTTCTAGTGGTTGTGTTTTTTATACATAACTAAGTGCTTTACATAATGGAGTTTGATTTTGAGAAAAACGTATTTCAAAATGTATCTGATTTTTGTGTTCCTAATATTTTTGTTGAAATTCAGTTTAAAAAAAAATAATAAATTATCGTACTTAATGCTGTGCATCCATTCATGCGACGCTACTGCAGTGGTAGGGCTTTTGCCTGCCTCACCACATCCTTCCACTCAGACCTGTCATCCATCCCCTTGGCACTACAGCCCGTGTAGGGCTTTGGCCTGCCTCACCACACCCTTCCACTCAGACCTGTCATCCATCCCCGTGGCACTACTGCCCGTGTAGGGCTTTGGCCTGCTTCACCACATCCTTCCACTCAGACCCGTCATCCATCCCTGTGGCACTACTGCCCGTGTAGGGCTTTGGCCTGCCTCACCACTTCCTTCCACTTAGACCTGATGTTTTTCTTTACAATGTCTGTATTCCAGCCACTGTAGATCCCTCTCCGCATCATCCGTCCATCTAAGCCTAGGTCTGCCTTCGAGCCGTTTTCCTCTGGAGATTTGGTGCGCACCCTCTACTCTCCTCCGTCATTTAGGCATCCTTTCCAAATGTTTTACACATGTATTCAAATAGTTGTTTTTATCTAAATTATATTTTGTGTGTTTTTCGGTAAAGGATTATTATTATTTTTTCTGGGCACCTTTCCTGGCCTTTGAAATATTGAGTGAGGTATCTTTGTGCGAATGAGGTAAACAGTGGCCATGACAGTAATATTGCTTACTTAATATGGTGTCATAATAGCACAAGCATATGTGCTGCCAACGCGCTTACGGACATAGATGTACCATACTCTGACATACATTGGACATCTGAATTTCTTAAGAAATATTCCTATATTCACCAACCATACTCTTACCAATTCATGTCTACTACTCTGACAAACAACATGTAACAATCATCGACCTTTGCATGGGACATATTCTGCTATCTTGAAACCTACCTTGACCTACATGTGTCCTTCTCTGAAATATATGCATCATACTCTGAAATGTATATATATCATACTCTGAAATACACGTATCGTACTCTGAAATATATGTGACGTCAATCGGACAACAATGTAACATACTCTCAAACACTGGTGACACACTCCGCAGGCTCCACTCCGTATCCCGGACTGAACACCAACGACGTTCTGGACAAGATCAAAGAGGAAGAGCTGCTGACCTGTCCACCGCATTCGTCGGATGTCGTGTAAGTCGCTTTCAAAATTGGAATGACCGTGACAAACATCTCCACGGTACAGCGTTGTGCTTGCAAGCACGCAACGAATCGGGTCGGTCATCATCATCGTCATCATCATCATGTCCACCAATGCTGACTGTCCCCTCATGCGCTTCCAGGGCATCTGACATAATTCTCTCCAGGAAGATGTTAAACATGGTTGGAGGGGGGGGAGCAAGCAGCCTTGTCGTGCTCCAACCGTGGTCTTGAACCATTCTCCGATGTTATTTTTGAAGAAGACTGCTCTGGTGGCCTTATCATAAAGGCGGCCATACCAATCTGGTTAGGTTTGTGTTGATGGTGCAGTGCCTCACGATGGACCATGAAGCAGCATGGGGAAACCCTGTCGAATGCCTTCCTGAAATCGGGGTCGGTACTTCCCCAGAAATCTTTCTGGACTGTCTAGTTTGATCTTTCCGATGCGAAAATACACGTTAATGAGAAATGAACTATTTCTTTCCAACGAGAATAAGATGACAGTTTAAAAATAAAAACATGTGGTGAACAGAGAATGACTTAAACAACCCTTAAAAACAACTTGTTTCGTATACATCTGTTAGATCCATTTTTTAAAATATTTTTAATTAATATTAAAATGCTTATGTCACACCGGTTTTTACACCGTAAATTTATTTCACCAATTATTTAAAAAAAAAAAAAGAAAATATTACACACTAAACGGAATAGTGATATTTTTTTTTTTTTTTTTTTTTTTAAAGAATCTCACGCAGCGCAGTTGTTGGGAATTTTATTTAGTGAAATCAGTGTCGTCATATTTCCTTCATCTTCCCATTGAAAAACAGAAAAGAAAAAAAAAGAAGAATTTTGAGGGTTTGCGTTGAGAACTGTTGCTGAACATTTGATAGAATGTCTTGTCATCAGCAAAGAGTCAATATGCAAGGTCTCAGTTTCGTAGGTTGACGGGAAGTGGGTCAATTATTAGTCGTTCGAAAATTGTATGCCACCCAGTCAGAAACATATGAAAAAATAGCGAAGTTAATATAAAGGATTTAAAAAAAAAAAAAAAAAAAGAAGAACCTCNAACCACTCTTAAGTTGTTTTTGTTTTTGTGTGTGTTTTTTTAAAGGAATGACGTCATGCTGAGCTGCTGGAAGAGGACACCCAGTGAACGCCCCACGTTCTCCCAGCTGTGCGGACGGCTGGAGAAACTGCTGGAGGCCCAGGTCGAGTACGTGGATCTCGACCAGATGGACGACCACGAGTACAGTGTCCCGGGCGACTGATGGACCGTGACTCCCCCCCCCCCCGGATGACTCCCGGATGGCTGGCGGAGTGATCCGAGACTCTTATCGTCGGCTTTGACCACGAAGAATTTTGAATTGAATATCTTCTCGTGTTAGAACTTTGGGTGTATTACCAAGGACGTTGCGATATTTAACAATCATTCTGTTTCCCATTGGAAGTCATAAATATATTGTTGATGTAATTTTTTTCTCCACATGTTTTTTTTTTTTTGGGGTATTATTTTTTAATACAATTCTGTTAACATTATTATTTCCACTATTTAATATTTAAATGAACGAAAACATCATTAAATAATATTATTTCTAATGTTATCATCTTGAGTGAGATATTTTAGTCATGGAGTCTGAACATTAGTATAAGTGGGGAAAAAAAACTGTTTAAGATAAAGTTGACGAGAAAGATAGAAATAGAAATAATCTCCAGGATTTTTACGTTTGTAATACGTTATTATCTAAATCTCACAGTATGAAATCCAGACAAAAAACAAACACGCACTCACACACACAAGCAAAATCACACACATACACAAACTCACATCGACACAGATGCATTCACGCGGCTGTAGCTAAGCTGGTTATTGCGGGAGTACCCCCATACCACACACGCATACATACCCACAGCTGAAGGAAGCTAGTTATCTCTGGAGTGCCACACGCCCCACACGTCCACTCCCCAAAACACGACAAAACACCCCCCAGACACACCCCTCACCTCTTCAGCTGAAGCTAGCTATATGCTTCTGTGTGATGCAATGGACAGCTGCGATTGACTTGAGAAGATATTTTGCAAGAAGCAAGGGGCCATGGGGTACGGCAAGACAAAAAATATTATGTGTTAGATACAGAGATATCCAAAATGAATCCATAAGGAGGACAAATCCTTCTTTATCCGTTAAACTAAAATGTCCTCGATCAAACTTCAAAAACACTCCTGCCATTTTAGAGAATGTTTGAGCGGCGTAAATGCATTTTTTTTTCAATTTCCCCTGTACGTAAACATCATTGCTTGACAGTAAACGCCAAACCTTTACCGTAAACACCATTCCTGTACCGTAAACACCATTCTTTTACCGTGCACACCATTCCTTTGCCGTAAACACGATTCCATCACGGCTGCGTCAAATAACTCCCTAATGCAATATTAAAATACAAACATTAAGTTCTCGAGACTTAGTTTGCGAAAAATAACTGCGATTGATTCACACTTAAGTTCCACCATATGATCCACCTTGATTTACACCATAGCTCTACCTTATGGTCCGCCATACGGTCCACCTAAAGGTCCAGCAATACAATACCACTGCCGGCATCCTGTGGGTTTATGCAAGGCCGCAAGGCGATTCGTGATCCAATAGATGTGGGGCGACTTGTGCTCGGGTGAGCGTCTGTGAAGTGATCCGTGACCCAGTGACTTTCTGTGAAGTGATTCGTGGTCCAGTGACCGCCGTCTGAGACGTGATCCACACGAGTTCTTTATAAGCGAAAGTGCAAATTAACCGGGAAAAGAAAAAGAATAACTTTTATTATCCTCACACCTGAACAGTCTCTATGAAAAAAAATATATTGGAAAATCCCGATCTCCTCAATTTAAAAAAAATCTTATTCAATAAATTACCCTTTGAAACTTATTGAAATTTTGGTGAGAACAATACGTCATCGCCCAATAAAACTGTATTTTCGGACTTTGCTATAACACATATTTATTTATTTGAAAAGAAAATATAATGCTCCTTAATCACGGCTGCAATGTGCTCGCATTTCAGGATAGAGTTATCCAGATTAAAACAAACAGACACACCGTCTTTCCTCTCTTTTTTATTAACAACTTTAAATACATTATTTCTCTATTTTTTAAAAACTTTTAAACTTTAAATATTTGGTCTGTAACATATTGGGGTTTTGAGATATTGCTATGGTTATAATATACATCCACCTACATCGTGGCCTACTGGTTCTGCCTGGGGCGCCCACCGATACCGTGGCCCATCTTGTGCTGTATGGGGCGCCTATCCATACCGTGGCCCATCTTGATTTGCCTGGGGCGCATACCGTGGCCCATCTTGTGCTGTCTGGAGAACCCACCCATACCGTGGCCCATCTTGTGCTGCCTGGGGCGCCCATCCAGTCCATGGCCCATCTTGATTTGCCTGGGGTGCCCATCCATACCGTGGCCCATCTTGATTTGTCTGGGGCGCATACCGTGGCCTATCTTGTGCTGGACGGGGGCCAAAACCAAACGATGGCAGTCTCATCCCGACCACGTCGTACCAGGCGATCCGTGACGAAATAACCGCGAGGCCACCCGTGTTTGGGTGAGCTTCGGTGAAGTGGTCCGTGACCCAGTGACTGTTTGTTAAGTGATCAGGGGTCCGGTGACCGCCGTCGGAGGAGCGATCCGCCTGAATTCTTTATAAACGAATGTGCAAATTAGCAGAAAATGAACAGATAATTTTATTTTTTTCATTGTCAACACCCGGTGGACCATGGAGCGGAAAGACACTTGAATTTGGTGCAGTGAAGGTGAAAATACTCCCACAAAACTACTTTAAGAAGCTGACATGCTAGAGGTTTTTAATTTACCTCTTAAGGCAGAAAAAAACAAAAAAAACTTCTGTTTAAAAATGGCTAACTCTGATACATACGGTGTCATGGAGTTATAGAAAAAATGGTTGTATTCATCAAAATGGAGCTTTTGCGACAGAGACCGAAAAAAAATATCTGTGGGGTAACTTGAGCTCATTTAACTGTGAACTTTGGATCTAGTATCAGATCATTGAGGGAGCCAACTATAAAGTTCCAAAAATATGTTTTCTTTATCAACATTGCGTTTAAGTGGACTATTGACGAGGGAGAGCACTGATCAGTTTTGGACATCAAAAATCATGACCATAGCCTTTTACACGTCTGCTAGTACGAACCGGACGTTTGAAAACACACATACACACACTTCCACAACACACATACGCGGCCATCCCATCCAAACCAAAATTCCTGTTCGTCTGAGATCTGAGTTGGGAATCTGGCTGGTGGAAAATTTCAGCCATGCCGAACGTCTTCCGTCTGCTCCCGGTGGTGTTACTGATCACCGTGGCCGGGCTTGTTAAGGCTCAGGTGGATGAGGAAAAGCCGATATCCTGCGACTGCAGCATCGTGGAGTCCAGCTCCGTGGTCGACCGCTGGGTAGCGGTCAAGTGTGAACGCGAGCGGGAACATAACGGCCTGGATGATTCAAGCTTTAAGGTAATTATGGGACATATTTAGAAGAAAAAAATACTCATTTAAGTTCCATGAGGACTCGACACGCAAACACGGGTAAATTATTTCCGTAAGAAAATAGTATGTGTCTCTTTTTTTTTGTCCAAAGCATGTGCTGTACCTGCCTGTAACTTTGCGCATGTCAGATGATGGATTAAGTGTGTTAAATCTGGGAAGGTTTCTTTGGGGGGGGGGGGGTGCCTTTTTTACAGACTATACCCTCAAAGGAGTGATACACGCATTCTAGATGAACAAATAGTTGTTCTTGTACAATAGATCCAGTTAGCGAACAGTTAGGTTGTTCAGCGTTTGCAGAAACTTCTATGAACAGTACGCAAACATTCACCAGAAACAGCAGCTACACAAAAATGCTAATTATTTCCCCCTAACAACACTAGTTCGCTAATTATTTCCCCCTAACAACGCTAGCTCGCTAATTATTTCCCCCTAACAA